TTAAACAAGATTACAGCCTACAATACAGTAGCTCTGCCTCAGGTTGAAGGTGCTAATTCAAGTACAGCAGCTTAATCAACCGTGAAGCTACTTGTGAATTGACCTTTTTACTTAGTGCTGTCAGTGCATATTGTGAAAGAACAAGATTATGGTTCAGCCCGCTTTTATGAAATGTGTTCTGACTCATAACATTGGCCTTCCCATATTGCTGTTTTCATTTATTCATTAAGTTGACACATGGGTAATCGTGTACTGGTGAACAGATGGGCATAATATTAGCAGTTCTGATAGGAGAATACATCACAGGAAAACATTCTTGAAAAGAGGCAGGGTGTAGCTTCAGCTGCTGAAGTGCTCTTTGAAGCTGATCTGACAGTCGAAATGAAAAAGATGCAACCAGTGATTGTTGTGGGAGTTTTGGTTGACACAGCCGGAGACACCCACACTGTAGTTTTGACGGTTTCTTTTTTAAATCATACTTTGATCCAGTTATAAGGCTTTACAGGTTGACATTTTGCAGTTTCTCATTTTCCAGAGTTTATATTTGTCTAACATCACATACTTTTACTGCGGGGTGGAAGTCGGGTACCTGTGATTGGCTCTTCTCACTTAAAAACTTTATTTTTTAAACATGGAACTATGTTTTCATGTTTCAGTAAAGGGGACATTTGAGAATGTCAGAGTCCATGTACTCTGGCATGCTTTATGAAATTGCAAGACATGAACAGGGTTACGCCATTTCATTCCTCCTCTCGACTTCTTCAATAGAACCTATTCAGAACTGTTTTTTATGTTAAAGTTTATTGTGAACTTTGTCCCTTTCAGTTTGAATACAGAACTGCGTAAAAGCCACAGGAAGTTTCAAATGAGAAAGCAGACATGCAGGAAAGTGGTCTAAATGTATACTATGGCCAGATAGATATTCACACTAGCATGTCGGGTCAGTGTAACATGTTTGTTTGTCTTTATTAATTAATTCTATTATGTATAATATGCAGTGCATCGTGGTGAATTGAACCCTGAACACCAAATGAGCAGCAAAGAAGAAGCACAGCTATGCGCAGCAAATTACCTCTCACAATTGCTTCTGGTTAATCTTATTTTTCTCAGATTTATTCTGTTTCGCTGTGATCTTGCCATGTCCCATTTCCAACAAATCCATGCCAGTACTTGTGATATTCCTGCACAATCATGAGAATTTCTTTCTTTCCTTTTGCCTGTTTTCCTGCAGTGTTATTATTTTCCTGGTTGCTTTGATAAACTGCACAGTCTCCCACCACAGAAAATGTCAGGCTCTTGCTATTTTCCTCTTCGGCCTATCAGTTTACTAAAGAAGAAAATGCATGGCAGTGTATTTGGCTCAGCTCTCCCTTACATTACCTTATTTCCTCACTTGCACCCTCACTCTCGCCTCACTCCTCCATTGTGTTTGCTTATACCGGCCTTCATTGGTTGGTTTGTTCACAGCATAACTTAAGAAGTATTGAGCAGGTTTGGATAAAAAAATTTTGGATGGGTTGGATATGACCCACCTAACATTCCATTAGAGAATGATGCTGATCCAGAGCATCATTCAGATCCAGGAATATCTTAAAAGATTCCTCACCATTGTGAGTGTTGGAATGGCTGTTGACTGCATGTTAGAACCCCCTGCGCTGCTCAGAACTTAGAGTGAAGACAAGTAGAGCTAATACAGCAAGTGTAGCAGGAGGCACCTTGGAAAATACTGTGTACATCTGTGAAGGACAAGAAGTACACATTGTTATCTCAGTCTGCATGGGACATTGATCTAGACATTTGTGGCCTTTAGTAATCGCTCATGTCTGTTGTTTTTCTTGAATAACTTACATCATTCTGAATGCTAGGGGTAGATTTTCATGGTCAAGGAATCACATTATGACAGTCAAACTGTCATGGAAATACTGCTTTTAGGTGTAATGGCATTAGGAGGAAAGTGAGCTGCTTTGACAGAGGTTGGCACTCTCTGAGTGCTGTCTAGTTTATCTGTGCACTCCACTGCACAGGAAGATGCTTTGTTTGCTCAAGGTTGGATTATTATACTGATCAGCAAAGAGCAAGTACATGTTGCCATTTGTTTACCATGAGCAGCTCACCTTCTCAGACAAGCATAATGCATTTACTCAGAGACATACACACAGACGTGCATCAGAGTCAGACACACACACAGTTTTTATTGATAGTCGGTTCTGTTTTGGATCCATTTCCAGGTTAGGGGTTCTTTTTTAAAAATCCAGATTTCTTTAGAGATGAACATGCATCTTAAGAAATCTTCAGCGTCCGTCAGCGTTTTATTTGCTAAGAGCAATGTACAGGCAACTTACTTTTAGCAGGTCCTACCCATTGCTTGACAATGACAGATTACTGTATGTCACAGGCAGCGGATTGTATGAGCTGTAGCAACATTGATACCGAGAGACGATTCTGAGATGCTAAAACACTGCATAAATCTGAGAGAAACTGCTGAGTTGGGTGGTAGTTCTCTGGGTTCATCCCTCAGAACTGCCCCCTTCACATTAGTCATTTGAGCCATCGTTAATATAAAAATATTAGTTTAACAGTTCTAAATCAGGACCTCCAATAGCGTTTTAAAAGGAAGGTATGCTAATACAAGTAAGCTTCATATCTAATTGCATATTGCATGCTGTTCATTTCCAGGTGGTAACTGCAGGTTGCTTTCCCAACCCAATCTTTGAGTTTTAGTTATTCGTTACCTTGAAATGTTAAAGGTTCAACCTAGCCCACAACCCTTCTGTTAAGTGGCCAGCGTGCTTCAGCAGCCATGTTAGTTCTCAGAAGCAGAAAGATCAATTCCCCAAGGCAACGTAGGAGTGAAGTATACACGTCAGGTTTTGTCACACACCCACCTGCTCACACACAGGTGGACGTTCATACACATGCATGCTGCGTACATGGACAGATGTTTGTGTCTTGACTTTGCAGTGAGGAATTGTCACAGTAAGTGATTTGCTCCTGGTGTGTTTACTGGGTGATAGAGTACATACAGTATGTGTTCATTGTTGTATGTGAGAGAGAAAGCATCAGAAATTAGACCAAACCTTTACAGTCTCTGCAGGGAGAGTGAGCAAGTGGTTGAAATGTCTGGCAATAATGTTGAGGCTTGAGTGATGGCATCTGTAGGGACTTGATGAGAGCCAATTATGAGCCAATTATGCTGATTAATGGGATTATAGCTCATACCTCTCCTGGTACATACTCACACATGTAAATAGACCAGTTCCTTCTCAAACTGGAGCACATAAATGCAGTTCCACTCACAGTCTCCCCCATCCTGCCCCATGCAGCAGTGCATGCTGTCCCAATTGAGAATAGTTGTTTGGTCTGCAGTTCAGAAGCAGAGTTGTCTGACAGAGAAACAAGGACAGCAGGCAGAGTGGCCCTGTCCTCACATCCCCTCAATCCACTCCCTCTCCCCGGGGTCTGCTTCAGAGAAATGAGACAGCACAGCACCTCCTTCATAAAGAGAAACCTCTGACGGTGTTTTACCTGAGTGTATGTGTGGGTTGTGCAGACATGTTGGTCAGGTCTGTGCTGGTTCCTTTCCCATGTACGTACATTTGTGCCAGTAGGAGCATCATACCCTGATACATGCCAGTGATATGTGGCCTGTTCTCCTCCCGCTCTGCCAACAGTCATTTGTCTGTCAACCAACATCCAAACCTCTCCTGCCTGCACTGCCCACTCTGATATTTATGAGCTGAAAAATGTACAAAAACTGTACAAAAATGGGATCTGAACAGTAGTTTGTGAGTGAATAATTTTTGTGTCTGAGTGTCTTAAGAGTGATGAAAGCCTTACTGCATTATCGACAGAAGTTCTCAACTTCCAACAACCCTGCTGCTTTTTCATTTTGAAAATTCAGCGTTGTAATCGGGGTGTATCGATTATCTTTTCCCTTTCACAATTCTACAAACTAAACTCACAGTATTGATTCATACAGAGGACTAATTTAATGCCAGAGCTGCTTTTTCTCTCTCACTGTAGCATCTGTTTATATCACAGTGGTTGAGATCATTCTTCCTGGGATTACACCTCCACATTATCATTACTTTTTAACCATAAGTGGAGATGCTTATCAACTAATGATTCCTGATCAAGAACTGTCATACTACATATCTCATCCTGGATGGTTGCCTCTAGGAACCCAATCATTTGATTCACTCATAGTCATAAAATGTGTTATGGGGATAGAATTATGAATTGTGAACCTACTGGATAGTGGGACGTCTTCATAGCGACTCAGAAAAAAAATCAGTTCTATTTTTCATTTGGCTGACATTTTGGTTACAGGGATTCTGGTGATCAAACTGAGTTAGGGAGCTGATCCACCATGAAGCATTTGGATTAACATTCCTTGCCTCACAGTGATGTCGAATGTGAAGCAAATAAATCTAAATGAGCATTTTCAAGCTGTATGAAGCTGTGCTAGTGGCCGTGCTATAGATCAGCTATAGTGACTGGCTGGAAACTTTATAAATAAGACCACCATCTCAATCTCTACTATTACTGCAGTATACAGTCAGTGGCCACTTTATTAGGCACTCCTGTACAATCTATTGCAGCTCAGAATGCTTCAATTAACTCTCATAATAAATCATAATAATCAGTTCATTTATGCTATAGTTTTGCAATTGTTAAATCATTGCCTTAAAATGTAATTTAAAAAAAGCCTGACTTTACAATGATATAAAACAGAAAAAAGCAGCAAATCCTCACACATGGGAGGCAAAAACAAGCAAATATGTGTCAGTGTTACTTACTGTAATAATAATAAACAATTAATCACTTATTGTAGCATGAAACTATAGAACTTTTTTAGTTTGATAATGTCACTGTGCCTTTTTATAGAAGAAA